ATCATTAGTACCGGCGGCGATCGAACTCACGTGCTTAGTTGTAAGGTTATCGTGAATTTTGTATTTTTTTATTTAGGGCTTCATCACCACTTACCACCAGGTGAGATAAAAAAATGTTTAAAATATTAAATATTAAGAATTTAAGAAAACTTAAACAACACGCATAAATCATGAGCTGTCATCTTAGTGATCATACTAGGTTACACTCATAATATTGTATTGTCATCGGTTCTTTACACGTCGTCAAAATGTTATATTATTCACATCTAGAAGTGAGTAAAGAATAAAATATAAATTATTAATATAAATTAAATTCCATTAAATTTATGCAAACGGGTCAAAGCGTGTGAAAACGAAGGAGAAACTTATCTTTACGTGAGTTTAATATGAAATATGCTACCTTAGCCCTTTTCTTTGTTAGGTATACTAAAAAAGTGTAATTTTGCTTGCCTTCGCGTTTCATTCAATGAACCCTTAATATATGAGTGTCTCTACGGTCCATTTGTTTCTCCAAGTATCCAACGCTCGGCTTTATTGCAACTGTTTGCGTATCTTTATGTCCTATTTTATAACTTATAGTGATGTCAGAATTTATGGGTACCCTTTGTACTTTATTTATTAGTTACTTTAAATGCTGAGAAGGAACAAATTCTTTTTTTATATTTATAAAATATATGACTGAAAATGTAAACCGTGTAATGGCGGCGTTAGATAATATACTACCCTAAATCATCGGTGTCGTAAGAGAGCACGGAGAGAAATCAAACAAGAGATCAGCAACAGCACCTTCCTGATAACAACTCAAAATAACCCACACCATGAGACAGTCTTTGGAGAGGCCTATTTTCAGCAGTGAACTTTCGATGTGCTCGAATGATTAAACTAATAACTTGAAATTACATGATGTGACAAAATAGTCTTGGGCATAGTTTTTTTCTATATAGTAGAGGGGGCAAAGGATCATGTGGCTCACCTGTTGGTAAGTGTCGACCGCCGCCCACGAGCAACTGCACCACCAGGGGATTTCCAGGTAGGTTGCTGGTCCTTTAAAAATGAGTAAACTCGTTTCTTGAAGGTACCTAAGACGTTTCGGTCCGGTTCATAAAATTCATCGATAGGTAGATGAATCTTACAAGGTACCTAGTAGAACTGTTTTACTGTCTTCAGGAACTATGTCTAGGAGTCCGACTGGGTAGGTCCAACCAATTACCTGTTTTTGCCTCCTAACAACCGTGCTTGCATTGCTGTGTTCCGATCTGAAGGGTATTTTTTTATAGAATAAGGGCGACAAACGAGCACACTGTCCACCTGATGGTGAGTGAATGTTGTGGCCCATAGACATCTACATTTATCCTTGATTAAGAATCAAAACGCAGATGCGTTGTCACCCCTGGGTGCTAAGATGGGATGCCTCGTTTCCAGTAAAAAGGGTCTTTGGTTCTATACACTCTGCAAACAAAACACAGCAGTTCTAGTCCTATTTTACGCTGGTATTCTGTGAGAGCGTGGTCCTATCCCGGTCGAGCCAACACATTCGTGGTACAACCATAATATAGCTGCAGCGTGGCTCTACCACGTATACCACGTATAGAGATTCAGTATTTTGCAGACTAACGGTTTAGTAGGTTTGTTTACTATTTACAGAAAATGTTAAAAATGAATCTTGGTAGTGCTGCCATGGAACGCCTTATGACTGGAGCACGAATGAGTCATGTCCAGTTGAAGGACCATGTATTATAATAACGTAAATTAGCAGCATAATACTACTCATTTTCACATAGGATTAGAGTAAAAATCGTCAACCTTTTAAATGGCAATGAGGTATTCCATCTTTGTCCTCAGCGATGACAACTCATAGGCAGCCTTCTTTGTTTGAAGTTGCTGCTGGTATCCACGAAACGCAGTAGTCGCCTACCATCAGGCGGGCTGTAAATTCCTTTGTCATTTATTTTTATTAAAAAAAAACTTGATGTTTACTATTTTCTGTAAATAAGTTTGACCGTTAGGTAATAGCGCGGAAAATTTATGACAAGAGGACCAGTTATTATCTTACCAAAAGGTTAAGCTAAGCCTTTCAATCTGGAAACACAGTCAGCCTTCTTAGCGCTATATCACGACGAATTGAACTTGTGGTTCCTCTTCTTCTTAAATATCAGCAACTGAAATTCTCACCCGTATAATAAATTTTCTTTAAACTAATCGCTACTATTACTTCGGACCTATTTCATCTCCAGGGAAAACCTGTAAATTCTCTGATTCAAATATATTACACTAGCGGCTCATTACGTGTTACTACTGTAGGACCTTAAATATTCTAGGAAACACATCAATCACTTTTGGTCTTGTTTTTATTTATTTTGTTGAATTGCGTCTTTGTACTATTCTTTCTTTTTTTTTTCATTTCATAGATCCACGCTGCAACTCACAGCTAATGAGGGTAGCTACGACTTTTTACGCTACGAGGGTAGCTACGACTTTTTACGCTACGAGGGTAGCTACGACTTTTTACGCTACGAGGGTAGCGCCACATAGGAATGAAGTGAAACATTTGATAGATTTCATGCCGAATGCAATTGTTTTATTAGAAAATTTCTAAGACTCTCTTTCTTTCGAGCATTTGGTTCTTCGCCAGCACATAAATATCCAATACTGATATGGGTCTCTTTTATTATACGGTAGTTTATCCCTTTAACGCCATGCTTCGCAGGTAGATTGGCGATGTCAGATCTGGGTATTTTGCGTGTGGCGTAAACAAGATGGTTATATCGCCATTTATTAAAATTATAAGATCTTAGGCATAACATTTATTCTCCTCTCGTCAAGACACCCACGGGACAAAATCCTTTACGCTGCTATCACACGGTAAATTTTAAAGTGTATTACGTTTGCATAATGTAAAATACCTAAAACATCGGCACACCGGCAACGAAGGGCGGCGATTAAGGTGCAGACGTCTGGTACTGCGACGACCTCTACACCTGCCAGTTTTATAACGGTAAGTTCTTCATACAATGAGAGCGGCCTTTAAAAAAAGAAACAGAACCAAGAGTAACTATAAATGAAAAAATATATAATTATAATATTTTAACATATTTCACAATACATTTACACCGCATAATAACAAATTTAATGGCATGTCGTGTTTGGTGTACTATAATAATAAATAATTTTATATTTTGCTGTAATATCTTCTTTACTATTGTACAGATAAAGGTGTGAACAAACTTGTTTGGTGAAACAAAATTAATATTTGAAAACAAAGCTAATTTTATTCTTTAGCTTAGGCCTAAAGACGTAATACGATTTCTGCAACACGAGTCTACCACGTAGAGTTGGTGGTAGAGTCGTGCAGCTATATTATGGTAGTAGCACAATTGGGTTGACTTGACAGCAGACAGCAGCTTAGCAGACTAATGCTGCTATGTTTCGTATGGTGAGGGTAAACCCTTTTTACTGGATATGAGCTATTCCATCTTAGTCCTCAGGGGTGAGAACGCATCTACATTTAGATTCTTAAGGTAATACTCGAAAATTTTGTGGTTTTTCTGTTTCACATATTTCTTTAAATTTTATAGATTACAGAGTATTTAATTTTTAACTATATGACCTTGGATTCCTTATAAAAAAACACGATGACATGTAATTTCCTCTATAGAAAAAAAATGTAAAGTAGGCTCTAATTAATTACATTCCTTCAACCTTTTTACGAATTAGTTCATGAAGTTATATTTAAAGCACAGGAAATAATCATACCTGTGAACTTTCACATAAACAACTTTTTTAATCCGTAACGAAGTTTTCTTAAAAAAAATTATTTGGTGCTTACTTAGTTTATTTCCGAACGTGCGCTCGGTGTAGCTGTCTTTTGTTAATTTGCGAAGATGAACTAATTGCATCACTTTCACTTTGACACTCTCTTAGTGGCCCGTTAGTTTCACCGACAAAGGAATAAGCCACACCCCCAAAACTATAATTCATTTTCAAGGTATCCTCTTAATCGAGGGTGTAGATGTTTATGAGCCACAACGTACACTTACCATCAGGTGGACAGTAAGTAAGCTTCATGGTCACGCAAATTCTTAAAAAAAATACGTATTAGAGACACGCGATAATTGCTACAGTTTAGATTTTTCGACTCGACGGAGAGAGGACCTCACTCTTACAGAATACCGACGTATAACGCAATACTATGCTGCTTTGACCCTTTTTATTTTGATATCGAAGCCGTCTGTCCTCAGAAGTAACTATACACGCATTTGCATTTTGATCCTTAGTAGATAAGTAGTGTGTCCTATGAGTTCTATCGTTCAATTCAATGGATAGCTTACCGACGGTGGACGGTGTCCATTTTTCAACATAATTACAGCCTATCAGAAATCCAATGATCATAGACCTGCCCCACAGATTGCCTCTTACTGTAGATATTTGCCACAATGGCAATGACAGACCTGTTACCAACTGCAATATTTTATTGTTATTAAGTTGTTATCCTAAAGGTGCTCCTGCCTATCCCTTGTGTCAGTTTCTCTATGTCATCCTTCGACACCCACGGGATTATATTATGTAGTGGTGTACGTTCAATCGACACAACTTCTTTACTTTCATATAAAATTCTGCGATTTTAACTTCCGTTAGGTTATAATGTTCACTTGTTCTATTTAAATAAGTAAACAGCTTCCCTATACTAATTAGAGTTCCCTACTACGCTAGCTATTTTAAGTGCTGATTTACCACGTGCTCGGTACTGGGGAACCATCATTAGGAACCGAGAATCTCCAAACACATCTGCCAAACACGGATTGAAGCTTTGCTGTAGACTTACTGCTCTATAATCCTCTCAAAAATGAGATAGAGTCTGTACCCAGTTGCAGTTGCAAGTATAAAGGCTGTTTTTATTTATTTTACTTTTTATCAAAGTCTATACCAAACCTTAAAATTTATTACATGCGAAATCTATAAAAATACGAATTGATGTCCGACTAAATTTTAACGGTGGAAGGTTGATTGATAAGTACAACAAAAGGTAAAAAACACATTTTTTATTTTAAAATATGTCCGTTGTTTATTAACTTTCCATTTGAACAGTAATTCAAAAGTAGAAAAGCCTCATGAATAAATAGTTAATCTAGATTTTTTTCTTGCATAAGTATGTACCAATTCAAAATAATAATTTTAAGCAATATTTATGTGATATAAATAAGCTTCTGTTCATTTATTTACACATATTTAAAATATACATAATTTAAATTTACATAATATGAAAAACCATTATTGAAAAAAAAACCAAAAACTTTAATTTTGGTTTTTAATTATGGTTTTTCATTTAATATAAACAATAGATTTTATACGTGGTATAGCTATGCTGGAACTATAATATTATGGTTGTAGCACGAATGGGTCAGCTCGACCGGGGAAACAACACGCTGCTGCTGTGTTTCGTATGGTGAATGTAACGAACCTCAGGGGAGACAATTCATCTGCATTTTATTCTTAATCAAAGTTAGATGTGTATATGGCCCATAGCATCCACCTATCATCTGACGCATTCTTATAGTCACTCTTCGTAACCCAATTAGATACAAAGACAAGCATTAGGGGAGAAATCTCAACCTAATTTGATAGTTCCACTCTACTTGAACAGCGTAGAGGGCGGTATATGCATATCGACTACCCGATATCGTCCCTTGAGTGTCGAAGGATGCGACACAGGTAAACTGAAATAGGAGCGAAACAATTCCAAATGTAGTAACTACGGTAAAAACCTCCCCCCCCTGTGAATCAATGGACTTCAAGGATAGACATTTATAATAGAATGGAATGGAAAGGTATTAAAAACTAAAATGTCACATTCTTATCATAGCGTGCAGTATTACCAAAGCAAATAGTTGTGGCAGTGCACTTATCAACCTACCTGTTCACTTGAACAAGTTTCATCACTTAGTTTTCATTACGGCCTAATTAAAATCCACTGCTGGTCACTATATCAAAGAAGTGGAAAAAATAAGCTAAAGTTCGCATGAAAAATAGTATTTTGTGACCTTATTGACTATACCTACTATAATAGCCAAGGGATCAATAGCTTGTTCTTAATAATAATAATAATGTCCTCCAGACCGAATTCCGGTCACGGCGGCCTGCCTCAACGGAGGCTAGCCATCGGCGCAGGACAAGATTATAGTGCCCAAGTGTATGCCCAAGCACAGGTCCACTCTCTATTTCCTCACTTTCATAATCCTCTGGGACGTTAAACCGACACGACCGGAGAGAGATCAGGCGCAGAACCAACGGCTTTACGTGCTTTCCGAGGCACTGGGGTGAGACACCGCCAACTTCCTATCTCCGGGCAACTACTGAGAATTTCTTGACGGAAAAACTCAATAATTAATTTTTTGGCCTGACCCGGGATCGGACGCAGGACATCATGATCCGCAGTCGTACTATTACAACCACTAGACCAACGAGGCAGTATCTCAGAGGCAGCAGATCAGAGGCTGATCAAAGGGCTCTCCCAATGAATACTAAAAAATATAATACAAGGGATTAAAATACTTAGTTCACTCGTTTGATCGTTATAAACAATTAATATTACTAATATTAAATATTTATTTGCGGTGTAAAAATATCCACTACCCGAAGTATCCCTATCTATTTAACTAACATGTTTGATGCAACTCAAATCTAATCTATATAGAGAGCCAAGGGACTAAATGCTTGCCTTAAAACGCGGGCAAACCGTGATCGATCCCCTCCGGCATCGATTAAATTGTTCACTGCAATTTTATATGCCAAATCACCATGTGCTCGGCGCACGAAATGTTCACGTCTAAGAAATTGAAAATATATATTTAGAAGGCATAATATAGAGTCTACCCCACCAACACCGAGGTATTGCGGCGAACGCTTCCTTGCCCTTAATCTCAGTAATGAAAGGTCTGTGCACAGTTGTGGGACGAATAAAGGGTGTAATTTTACTTAATTTTTATTAAAATATCGATTACTATAATATGTGTGTATTTAAATTACAGAATGCGCGGAATTGTCATTTTGTTTACAATCGTAACGGCATGCCTAGCCTATGGCCCGGATACAGAATCGGACTGCTTCAGAAACAGCGTGTGGCAACCTAATAATGTTTTAATAAAGCTCTTAAATTTCTTTTACGATAGCATGTGAGTACTTTGTATAATAAAAAGGTTGAAATCAAAAATTCTCCCTCTGTTTTCACTAAAATAAATTAGGTATTTCATGAGTTTGGTAACAAACACAGTCTATATCTTGTAAGTATTTTAATATGTTATTAAGTTAAGAATTGTTAAAAATTAAACATAAAATCAATTCATATTTATTTTTGCTAATAACAGCCCTTCACAAGTCATATGATCATATATCTATCCCAAGCTATATATGTGTACACACATACTTAGTCAGGTCATAAGTTCTGTCAAAAACTTTTTATAAAATTAATGATACACTTTTTGATAATTATATAGAAATCATATATGAAAAAAAGTTAATTTAATTTAGAATACAATTTTATTTACATTATTCAAAATGCCCTCCCATATTTTGAATACATGCCTTTAATCGACGCGGCCAATCATCAATCGCTGCACGCACCACACTCATATCTATTTCTGCATTTGCTTTAGCCAAAGATGCTCGGAGAGATTCTAAATCCTAATAAGTTTAGCGCAGATTTTCTCCTCCAAATTTTGACATATCTTATAATCCAGTGGGCTTAAATTTGGACTAGAAGAAGGCCAATCTTCAAGTCCGATAAAGTCAATTCCATGGGCGGTCAACCAGTTTTGCGTGCTTCGGGCCCCATGAGCTGGTGCAGAGTCCTGTTGGAATATCCAATGTCGGTTTTTGAACTTTGTTTGAGCAAAATTTTCCATTATGTTTGTTAGTACGGTATTTTGGTACACCTCAGCACTGGTTTTTACACCTATTTCACAGAAAAACACCTCAGTTAAGCCTGAATATGAGACTCCAATCCAAACCATAAGTGACGAAGGATAATGTGCTCTTTGAACCCTCGGAATACGGGTGCTGGCTTCTTCACTGCTGTGTGACCTTACCATTTTGTTTATTATAACTTTCTTCGATGTTAAAAATTTTTTCATCCGAAAACAAAATTTCGCAATATTTTTTCCCGCGTACCGCCGTAACAAAGCGCGGTATTTATCCAGTCTATTTTTTTTTCAAACCCTCGTCCAAAAATATCCGGTCTTCTTACGATAAGCTCGTAGTTCTAGGTCTTTATTGATCACTCTTTTGACCGTGGTTCTTTTAGGCCCATCTGAAGAGCTAAGATTTTTTGTTTACGAACAGGATTTCGTTGGATTCGCGCCTTCACTGCTTTGATGATCTCTGGTGTCCTAACTGTACAAGTTCAGCCGGTCCTCTTACGATCTTCGAAGCTTGAACCTTCAGTGAATCGTTTGATAGTACGATAAACAAATTGTAAGGTTATTTTAAATTTTTTTAGAATATTAAAAACCTCTTTTGGTGCATAACCACAGCGGTGCAACGCGATAACCGCTACTCTATCTTTTTTCTTCGACGATTCCATATTTGAAAATTAATGAAAATTAATTTCTTTTTTATTTTCGGCAAGAGCAAACGTTATATTTTTAAAATTGGTGCAGTTCATCTAGCCAGTATTCAAAAATGTTAAATAATAAAGTTTCGACATAACTTATGACCCGACTAAGTATATGATAAATTATTAAAAAATACATTAAAAATATATTAAAACTTATAAAATAAATTACTATGTTCTACATAACAGTTGTGCTAAATAGATGACTTTCTATTTTCTAAATTATTTTGTGTTGTATCAATTTTGATTATTTTTTATATTTAGAACGAAATAAATTACTATTATCATTATTACACCAATCCATAAATGAAAACATTTTTTACCCTTCTCAATGAAAGAAATAACTGTAGTATTACGTAACTGTCTAATACAAAGGAATAGCTGTAATCTCGTAAGTGACACTACTCTACTAAGTGAACTATCTCTGTTAATTAACCGTAGTATAAGATAAAGCACCAATTTCTCAATCTTCGCACAAAGTGATTAATAACTACTGTTACATAATTAAGGACACAAAATAAATTAGACCACCTCATTTCCAGGGATTATTATCATCCATAAATTCCTTAATATTATAATAACCTTTTTTATACAAACTTTGTTTAAATGAAGTTTTTGAACTTTGAGGAGATCAATTTTTGTTTTCTTTACTTTAATTAATCAAATTTTAACAGAGCCTTGACATCAGCGGACACGTGTTTTCCTCAAAGACGCTTCGTGTCTGTCATCACTTTTGCAAAAACAATTTTAGTATCAAGAAATTCTACGAACTTTGCAGGGAGCATTGAAATTGCAAAGATAGAGACTGAGAAACAGTTAAATAAGCCAGCTGCGCCGCTCGCTGGACCATTTCGTGGTATCATCGATCGACTGCTTAATGTCATAGATCAGGTAATTTACTACATTTCTCTCCCATTCTGCTAACTTAATTTATAAGTCAGTACGGTCTGTGTGATAATTTATCAAGTTTTTGAACAGACGACATTTGTGGTCTATGAAAACATATACCGGGTAGTAGCGGTATAAGACTCCCGTATGCCATCCCGTGTGGGTGTCGTAGGAGGCGTCAAGTCGAGGGAAATCTCTTGTCATCAAATCAGACAAAGGGTGGTCTTCCTGGTAACGATTAAAATAAAAAACTGCGGTTGTCATCTCTTTTGAGGCTATGAAGCAATCTGTGGGGGGGGGCGTACAGCAGTGGATTTTGATATGCTTTAATGGTAACGGAAAACAGGTAAATAAATTGTCAACGTACAGCGAAGGAGAAGAATATCTATCCGTAGTACTATTGGCTTAAGTCGACCGGGAAAGGACTGCGTTCTCACAGAATACCAGCGTAAAACAGCTGCTGTATTTCGTATGGTGAGTGTAGAGAACCGGAGACCCTTTTTACTGTAAACAAGGCATTCGATCTTAGTCCTCAAGGGCGACAACGCATGTGCATTTAATTCGCAATCGAGGATAGATGTAGATGTCTATGGGCCATAGTAACCACTTTACATCAGGTGGACTGTGTGCTCGTTTGTCACCCCTATCATATAAAAAACACAATATTTCATTCTTGCAATACAAACTTATTAAAAGTCTGCAGCTATTTTATGCTGCGGACTTTTAATAGGCTTGTAATTACTGCTCAAGTAGACCATTCCCATCATTTGCCTGATAGAAGGGATAGTTGCCACCCTTGGCAAGCAGATTGACGGCCGCAGTTGATGAGTTGTTGACAGGAAGATGCTGCTGCCCACATCCTGTTCATTTGCTATTGTCATCTCTTACTTATCCCACGAAACGACAAAGATGAGTGGATTTTGTTACGCCGCCACTACACGGCGAGCAGGCCAATATAGGCCGATATTTAGCTAAAATTTGAAGCTCCTATTCATATTTCAGGTCCTTAAATAAAATTTGAAAAATATTTGCACACTCAAATGTACCATGCCCGATGTTGGTATGGGACTTGTAGGTTTCATATTTATGTGAGACTTATAACAAAAGAATGTTCCGACTTTATTATTTGCTTAGCTATTCTTAAAAGGCATCTAAAGGGATATTGAGCTTGTGATTGTATAGGCAATGGCGGCCGCGTAGGCCACCAATAATTTATTTCAAAATTTTCCATTTTAAACCCAGAGTAGCAAGTGTGGGCAGAGTGGGTAACCAGAATAGGCTGAGTCCAAAGGGACACATTTCAACCTCGGGGGATTACAGGTTTGACGCTATATAAATAGTGTTACAAGCTAGGGGTTCGTGACAGTTAAAAACTGCTGATTTACCGAAATTGACACTTTAACTACAGAACACTAATTACAACTTAAAACCACACTAATAACAAAACTTAATTGTACTACTGATCACTTTAGTTCGCAGTTGTATCGCTTCGAAGTATTCGCTTGATCGCCAATTCAATACTGACTCGAGTCGCGGTCTATACCGGCCTTATATAGGGCTTCACATAGTTCCAGGACCTTCTACTGTAGAAACATCTAGAATACTCTAGTGTATACCGATCCCAACTAATTAGGTGTCGATAGTTCTAGAAAGTTCTTTCATGGAAATTTCTAGAAGGATCTTGACTCTCCTAGTTCTGCTAATCAATACTAGAAGGCGCTAGTGGTAACTAGTGTCGCCATGTACCAGCCATTATTTGTGGCGAGCAGCAATAGCAATAATAATAATAAGTTATTTTATATCCAAAAAGTAGAATAACCAGATATTTGCTTGACCCCTAATAAATCCAATTTGGTACAAATATCTGAAATACCATCTGCAGCCAAACTAGGAGACCTGTGCATAAACTATCAGCTCCATGTAAGATATGATGTAAAAATATTTGAGATTATTTATACATTTTAAAGAGGAACAAGCGTAAAGTTATCCTATACCTTTAAACGAGCAATTCTTGTATATATATATATATATATATATATATATATATATATATATATATATAATCGGAATCTCGGAAACGGCTCCAACGATTTTCATAAAACTTAGTGTCCAGGGTGTTTCGGAAGCAATAAATCGATCCAGCTAGAATTTATTTTTAGAAAATGTCCTTTTGTCCGTGTTTTCAGGTAATAAAAAAACTGCTACAATATAAGAAGGTAAATTTTGATAGTACCAACGATCGTAATAGCTCAGATGGGATGTTGTTCGGGTTGTGATATCGGAGTTCCGTGGTTCGCGTCCCGTCTTGGGTCCGACTTTTTTCCTTTTTTTTTTTCAAGTTCCCTTCTTTGTGAGAAAATCTATTATTTCGAGACCTTTTTTTTAGTATTTTTTAAAAATACGAAAATTATAATTAAACTAATTGCACTCATGATTTTTTATTCAAAATAACAAGTTCAGTGTTTTCTATTATGTCAATAAGATCAAAAACTATTATTCATGTAATTTGTATATAAATGTAACTTAAAAAAACCGAGCAAAGCTCGGTCCTCCGGGTATTAGGTAATAAATAGATATTTAACTAAAGCTCGCACATTGATCTTTCGCGTGACTGTGGTTCGGATCACTTATATAACGAGATCCTGTCGTGTTAGTGCACTTAAGCCCACACTTTAATCGAAGTGAAAAACAAGCAGTATTTATCGTATATTATATCTTATCTTTATTCTTTTTATAATTTAAAAACATCTGAGAACTTAAATAATAGAAATGCCGTATTTATTATAGAATAAGGGTGATACACGAGCACACAGCCCATCTGATTGTATAAGAGGATTCAGCGGCCCATGAACATCTACATTTATCCTCGATTAAGAATTAAAATGCAGGTGTGTTGTCACCCCCTGAGATGGATGATGCTTCGTTATCAGTAAAAAGAGTAGCCGGAACTCTACACTAACCTTACGAAACACAGCAGCATTGAGTTGCTACATTATGAGGGTACTCTATGAGAGCACAGTTCTTCCCTGGTTGAGCCGAGCCATTCGTGCTACAACCGTAATGTAGCTGTAGCATAGCTCTACCACGTACAAATTACTAGTTAAATATCACGTAAAAAACACGTGCATTCACTCTTTAATAAAACAAAAATGATAATATTGAAAATATTATGAATGCAGGACACAGAGTAAATGGGGCATCTCCTCTCTCTTCCCTCTATCTCTATTGTAAGAAGGAAGTGTGTGTTAAAAGTCACGTATGACTATTAACAAAGATTGGTTTGTATACCATTTATGTACGATAAGGCAAGTTAAGAGTGTCAGAAGAAGCGACAGGATGAAAACTTATGTGATAATAGTTATGTATTGTTTGCAAGATGATGTTGTGACGAGGTTTAAGAAAGAAATGTTTTGATTATGTAAAAATAATAAATCAGGAAACAGTGCAAAGCACATTTATGTCGCTGAAGAGAATGGCAGAGTCGGTAAGGGACGCCGTATACAGAATTTATCGACCAAATTGGCGATATATTGAAGATACACCAAGTTAAGAGTACCCTTTTATGACGAGCATGTATAACATAAATGTAGAGCATGTACAACATAGGATATAAAGGGGGCGAGAGAGTTATGTCAGGATCGTGCCAAATGGAAGTTCGTAGTATAAGGGGTAGGCCCTTTGGGTGATAAGCGTGAATGTTAATGTATGTGTGTTATATAATAAATATTTTTAGTAATTATTATTGTACACGATTATAGATTCATTTTATTTTCCTTGTTAATTAAACCTATCATTAAATTTCATTGCTTCAGTAAACAATTTAACGTTTATAATTAACTTCGTATTGAAGTTAACCACCGATTAAATTGGACCCTTTTGGGTCGCGAGCGTGATATAGGTTAATTATCTTTAATGAAGGCATCAACGCGTTAGAATAGTTTGGTTAATGAAATGAAAACTCAATTAAGCTACTATTAAATAGATATAAAATTGTTTTATTGTTGATACGCGATTTTTTATACAAGTAATGGTTACAAATGAGCACATAGTCCGAATGTTAAGTAGATATGTACGCCCATAGGCACTTACATCTATACCTTACACATACTACTTTTAACTTTGATTAAGAATCCAAATGCATGTGTATTTTCATCCGCGATGACTCGACAGGTTGTGCAGAAAGTTTTGTCAAAAAAGTTTTTTTTTTTTTCAATTTCTATATTAAATTGAAATATTACGTTTTATGAAGAATAAGATTGGCGTCGGAAATATTTTAGCGCGATAATTTTTTAACGATCTCAAATGTCACCTAAAACTGAACGCATCATTTGATAGACTTTAAGTGATATTAACTTATAATATACCGTTCTATAAGAAACTTTAGTAAGGTCGACTAACTTTGTGAAATAAAGAAAGAACCCACGTAATGTCGTATAATTTGTCAACATTAAAAATGATATCCGGTTAGTGTCTCTTTCAATACAAAACACAGCAGCATTATGCTCTCTAAGAAAATACCACCGTGAAATAGCAGCCAAGTACACATAGCATACCAGGTGATAAGCCCGCCTGGTGGTCCATATAGGTAGGTACCATCTTACAAACATACCCGGCACGCAGTAGTACATACACTGCTGTCGTCCAGCCTAAAGGGTATATATACTATAGAGAGCTAGTATACAGGTTGTGAGGCATCACACCGTCGTGCTCGTATGAGACAATGCATCTGTAGACTTCCTTATATGAAGTTGGATTTGGTTGCAAGCGTGTATCGACTGCAGTAGGCACTTACCAAGTAGATTTATCAAGTAGATTGGAAGTGTGCTTATTACTGAAGTTTAAAAAATAAATGATTCTGCCGAGTTACGTATGGTGAATAGCGATAATCCATTGTATAAAGGCTTTCTGCATTAGCCTAAGTCCCCAGGGTTGACTACGCATCTGAATCGTGACTTCGATTTCTGCAGAGGATAGCTATAATTCCTAGCCTATGGAATACAGCG